TTTGTCTTTTTCTTTAGGCATGGTATTTCTTTACCATATATGCATTTCTTGGATTAGGCAAGTCTGCTCCATCCATGTCAGTTAAAATTAAAGCTCCTCCTAAAAAAGCCTTTTTCACCATATACGGTCCTTTCTAGTTCAACATCCATTTTCCACGAGAATCATTTTAGTTAGGGAGTATCCTTGTATGCTCAAATCATCCTTCATTGGTACATTTGGCCATGGTAAAGTGTCACGAGTCTTTTTTCCATCAATAAAATTCAATTGTTCATAACAAAAGTGGATTCACTCAATGTTTTCTAATTATGTCTCCATTAACACTCTCAATGATGGGATTTCCACTTTAATAGGTAGCACTGCTTCCATGCCATATACTAAGGAATATAGGGTTGCCCTCGTGAAGGTATGCACAGAAGTTCAATATTCGTGTAAAGCAAAAAGAAGTTTTTGATGCTAATCTTTATAAACTTCAGTCATCTTTTGAATAATCTTTTTGATATTCTTATTGGCTACCTCTACTGCTTTGTTCATTTTTGAATGGTAAGTTGTTGAGTTATGATATTTAATCTTGAATTTAGCCTAAACTTCCTTTAACATTGCACCATTCAGATTGCTTTCATTATCAGTAATGATTCTTTCTGAAAGTCCATAATGACATATTATTTCCTTCTTGATGAATTTGCATACCACTTTCTATGCTACATTGGCATAGGAAGCTGCTTCTACCCATTTCTTGAAGTAATCGATGGCCACTAATATAAATCGATGTCCATTAGAAGCTTTTGGAGTAATGAGCCTAATCACATCCATTCCCTATATTGAAAAAGGCCAAGGTGACATGAAAACATGCAATGAAGCTAGTGGACTTTGGATTTTATCTACATAAATTTGACATTTGTGGCATTTTCGAGCAAAGCTTTTGTAATCTGATTCTAATGTCAACCAATAATATCTAGCTCTCATGATTTATCTGACCAACATATGTCCATTGGCATGAGCTCCACAGGTTCTCTTGTGGATTTCTTCCATTATTTTGTTGGTTTCAATAGCATCCACACATCTCAAGAGTACTTGGTCTTGACTTCTTTTGTAGTGTACCTTTCCACTGTGGAAGAAACCTATTACTAAATTTCTAAGAACCCGTTTATCATTTTTTATGACATTTTCAAGATACGCCTAGTGCTTAATATATTGCACAATATCATAATACCTTGGTTTACCATCAACCTCTTTTTCAACATTCAGGCAGTGTGCGAAGACTTCTTAGATTTCCAAATTAAAATGGTGTACATCGACTACTGTATTTATTTTGAACATTGCTGTAATGGTGGCCAAAACATTAGCAATTTGGTTCTTTTCTTGAGGCAAATGGTTAAAGTTGATTTTCTTGAATTGTTTGCTTAATTATGTAACCAACTTTTGGTATGGAATCAGTTTAGAGTCTTTTGTATCCCATTCTCCTCGCATTTGACATATCACTAAAGCAAAATTTCCATAAACTTCTATTGTGTCTACTTTCATGTTGATTGCTGCTTGTAATCCCATTACACATGCCTCGTATTCTACCATGTTTTTGGTAAAATTGAAATTAATCTTACAGTGGTCGAACAATACTTCCCATTTAGGTAAATTAAGATTACCTTAATTTCATGCCCTAAAGCATTTGATGCTCC